ACCCAGTCAGAATGAGCCCTAAAGATGGGTCATCAGGAGTGCCTTCGAGACTCGGTGCTGGAATTCCCTGCCGGACCGAGGCTACCGTGTGCAGCGAGGCTATTCAATTTCAAGGCCCATTAAATCCTGGCGAGCAAACTCTTGCAGTGCATTGTATGCCGTACCTTATTATTCATTGAACGTATACCGGTCAGAGCAAACGTATACGAACATGACTTAACTGTGCACTAATGGATCAATTAGCCCGCACGTCTGCCCACGCCCATAGGATGGGTCACGCCCTCATTTCTATCAGCGCAGAGAGATAATTGCTGTAGTCAGAAGCAGGACCAATCAAGGCGGTGAATGGCACTGTGAGGTAACAGGAGGAAAACTCAACTTACTGCTCCAAATGTCTTATAAATGTTTTTGGTGCAACCACCTAGACCATTGGATCCCAATATAATTTCGTTCTTGCCCGCAAAAAGCGCAGTTTTAGTCAGCTTCCAGCAGTAGGTTACTGGCCTTTTAATGGCCCAAAAGAGGGCCATCGAGGAATTTGCTCCATATGATTAAGCACAATTAAACGCACCATCAGTATCAGGACACTTACACTGTAGAGCGCGATGACAGACGGCAAACTGAGAATGTTTGCGCACGGTTTGTGAACCCTTATCTGACAGCATTTTCCAGCTTCAATTCCTTGTATTCAAACAGTATATAGCAGTGTTAGATAATTCTGATGTCATAGGGTTTAGTTGCGTTCACTGTGATGTCTATAATTCATTATAATGGGCAATTAGATGTCAGGACTTAAAAACTTGAAGGCATTGAGAGTAAAGATGATTTGTATGGCCGTCTAAACAGGACGGGGATAGGAATGCCCCGCCCAATTAAAATAGATGGCCTGTGATAAATTTCAGCTAGGGTAAATATCCCCGTGTCTTAACGCTAGCACTATTCCTAACAAAAAACTAAACTTTCACCTTGAGCTTAAATCTAACCTTACTTTAAACGCGAAAAGCCTACAGGTAACGCGAACGCAAACATTAATCCGGAACCCAAGTTCTCCAGAATTTGGCGCGAAGCCACATATATTGCGGAGCCCTGTGTAGGCAGCAATCGAAATCATCCCTACCAAAGTAAGTACTCAGCAGTCACATAGTGAACTGAGTTTTATAATTTTATCATCCCCATCGAGAATTTCCGTAATGACGTATTTGCAAATTGGAAAGTTAGTTGTTATCTATAGCTAAAAATACTGCAACTATAAGGCAATATAGTAGGACAGTTTGTGTCAGGGCAAGAAGCAAACACTTTTGAAATATTTCCCTTTAACACCCTGAAAGAGGTCTTCCGATATTAGATGTTATTTCTACAAAAGATTGGGTTGTTCAAATGTAGATCTGAAGAATACTTAGTGCGCATTTAAGACTGATTACACATCGACAAATAATAAAACGTGACACAATCCCCCAGCGCAAAGCCTTACCAATACTTCAATCATGAGCAGAATAGAATTATCCTGATTCTGAGCTCTGAATATTAAAAAGCAGGTTAAGATCGCAGGTTATCACTTGGGATATGCAGGTATATAACAGCGAACACACCAGAACTAGGCACTGTAAGCCTCTTCCATTCTGTTAGGAGCGATTCTTAATATTCAGATTTTTCCCAATTACTTCAAATTACGGATTACGGTTAAGTTGGCCGACCACCTTAGATAATTACTATATACTAAAGTAAAATAAGTTAACTAAGCTAAACTAAAGAGAGCAAACTAAAACAAAAAGTGGCGACAGTAGTTTATGTAGGCCCACCCATTAATTCCTACTCCCTGCATGTTTTAATGTGAAAACAGTAGTTATAAGGTTTTATGGTCGGAGAATTAGGACACACAGTGGAATATACTTTAATAAATGCTAAATTAATTTTTATTTTACTGTATTCAGAAGTGTTGTTGATTTACATTAGTAGATTTTCCTAATCTGTATTATTCGTTTAACTTATTGCGGAAAAACCCAATTATCAAATTGCAGGTTTCTTGAATTTTCCGAACAATGGAAATGGTGCTCAGGAGGTCATCTACTTCAACTTACTGAGGTCCAAATTACCGTTGTCAAGTTAGATTAGAATAGTCCGCCGCGCTAAGTGCCGCGCACACCTTCAATTTACATGCGGAACAACTTACTCTCAGCGGCCGTGGGAAACAACTTCGACTACATTTTGTTCACTTTACGCTTACTTCTAAAAGTTTTCTTCTCTGCCTATACTATTTCCCCGCCCCCAAAACATCTATAACCACCGTTTTTGCAGGACAAAATGCTGGGAATAGGGGTATATGAGTGGGCCTGCATAAGCTACTTTTTCCCAAAAAGTAAACTAAAATTAAACTAATAAACTAGGAACTAAACTAAACTAATTCAATCAGCCCCATAAGATAGAATTCTGAGGCTAGCGGTATCTAAGGTGGGCGATCAACGTAAGCACTACTACATTACATTTTGGATCAGCTACTTTGTTGAACACCACTGACACAGCGAGTGCCACCAGATGTTGGAGAGGTGAGGGACTGCTTGCTTCATGTGATTTAGGCAAGTTGTTGGAATCCTACTTTGGGTCCCAGAAATTGTTTAAATAATCTGATGTTTTCGTAAAAAATAGCGCCCCGTGAATAAACACAGAAATTTGCTTCCATATATTACTTACTAATAGTTTATTGAGTGTGACATATTTTGACATTTTTAGTTGCTTAAAGTTTATAGATAAGAGGGTTTCTTGATATTCCTGAAAAAAATTGGTAATCAGGATGTCGTGTATTTCAACTTACCTGAGACCCAACTGACCGTTCTGGAGTTAGATTAGTTTAATTCGCGGCGCGAACTAGTTTTAGTTTGAGATTATTTTTTACTTAAGTGAGTTTGGATCACTTTAGTTTACGTTTTTTAGTTATTTGATTTTAGTTTTAGTCAATCATTTTTCAGTTCAGTTATTTCCGAATTTTTGCATAATTGCACATTTTAAATATGGCGCGCCTTTTTGTTGAAAAATATAAGGGCATTAAAATAATTATTCCTGTTTTTCCTTCTTTTATAAACTTTACTTTTTATTTGTATTTTCATTCCTTGGTACTTACTTTCCCGGTTCTGTATTACAGAAAGATGGGCTTTCATATGCTGATCTAGGACCTAAAATAGGATTCTACCGGTCCAGTTACCTCTTTGAACACCACTAGCACAGCAAGTGCTGCCAGATGTCGGCTAGGCGAAGTGCTGCTTGCTTAGTGTGGTTTAGGCGAGTTACAGTAAAGATTGCATACCTAAGCGTGCTGGGATGGCTCATTTCTTCCTTCTTCTCCTCCATCCAGTCCAGCAGATCCCTCGCCGTCGCTATGAAGCGATGCAGATTGTAGGAGTCGAGAAGGGACCGTCCGCGCTGGTC